TGTGTGTGTGTGTGTGTGTGTGTGTGTGTGTGTGTGTGTGTGTGTGTGCGCGCGCGCACACGTGCCTCCGAGCATGGGGAGTGGGGAGGGTCAAAAAAGCTTTAACTGAAGAGCTGGGAGACCCACCCTGAACATGGGTGTCACCACCCCAGGGCTGGAGTCAAGACTCAAGAAGAAGAAATCAAGCAGGGTGTCAGTGCCCTCTCTCTGCCTGACTAAAGCCACATGACCAGCTGCCTCAGGCTCCTGCTGCCACAGCTGGAGCTGCTCTTGCCCCACACCCTCCCTGCTCGGAAGGACCGTACCCACAAACTATGAGTTACAAGAAATCTTCCTTCCTTAGTCACTTTGGTGGAGTGTCTTGTCACAGTGTTAAGAAAGGTAACCAACAGAGGACTGGATTGGAAGGGGACCACGGTGGAGCTACAGCTGCGATGCAAAGTGAATAAAGTGTAATAAATAAAAAATTCTATTAAAAATAAAGGTAACCAATACTCATGCCAAACCCAACTTATTTTATCTCAAAACTGCGTCTTCCCTTAATTTCCAAAGGCAATTAAAGAATCATCGCCTCATCTTAAGAAGTTAAACAGCAACAAATCAAGTAATCCAATAAAAAAAAATGGGGTACAGAGCTAAACAGAGAATTCTCAATAGAGGAACATCGAATGGCAGAGAAACACTGGAAGAAATGCTCAACATCTTTAGTCATCAGGGAAATGCAAATCAAAACGACCCTGAAATTTCACCTTACACTTAGCAGAATGACTAAGATCAAAAACTCAAGTGACAACACATACTGGAGAGGATGTGGAGAAAGAGGAACCCTCCTCCATTGCAGGTGGGAAGGTACAACAATGTACAACTTGTACAAGCACTCTGGAAATCAACCTGGCGCTTCCTCAGACAACAAGGAATAGCGCTTCCTCAAGATCCAGCCATACCACTCCTAGGCATATATCCAAAAGATGCTCAAGTATACAACAAGGACATTTGCTCAATCATTTATAGCAGCTTTATTTGTAGTAGCCAGATACAGAAATTGTGGTTCATTTACACAATGGAATACTACTCAGCAATTAAAAACAAGGAAATCATGAAATTTGCGGGCAAATCTAGAAAAGATCAACCTGAGGGAGGTATCCTAGAAGCAGAAAGACATACATGGTATATATTCACTTATAGTGGATATTAGACATATAACACAGCATAATCATACTAAAATCTGCACACCTAAGGAAGCTGATCAAGGAGGACCCTGGGTAAGATGCTCAATCTTCATTCAGAAAGGCAAATAGGATGGACATTGGAAGAGAGAGAAAAAAGGAACAGGACAGGAGCCTATCACAGAGGGCCTCTGAAAGACTCTACCCTACAGGGTATCAAAACATATGCTGAGACTCATAGCCAAACTTTGAGCAGAGTGCAGGGAATCTTATGAAAGAAGGGGGTGAGAGAAAGACCTGGAGGAGTCAGGAACTCCACAAGGAGAGCAACAAAACCAAGAAATCTGGGCACAGGGGTCTTTCGTGAGACTGATAATCCAAACAAGGACCATTCATGGAGGTAACCTAGAACCCCTGCACAGATAAAGCCCATGGCAGCTCAGTGTCCAAGAGGGTGCCCCAGTAATAGGAACAGGGACTGTCTCTGACATGAACTCATGGGCTGGCTCTTTGATCACCTCCACTTGAGGAGGGAGCAGTCTTACCAGTCCACAGAGGAAGACAATGCAGCCAGTCCTGATGAGACCTGATGGACTAGGGTCAGATGGAGGGGGAGGAGGACTTCCCCTATCATTGGACTGGGGGAGAGGCATAGGCGAAAAAGAGGGAGGGAGCGTGGGATTGGGAGGGGATGGAGGAGGGGGCTATAGCTGGGATACAAAGTAAACAAACTATAATTAATAAAAATAAAAAATAAAAAAAGAATCGTCACCTCCAAGCTCTCCAATTCATGAATTGTTCTTGTCTTTGATGCTTCCCTCTCCGTACCCTTGTTCATTCTGCCTGTACAGCCGCTGTGCCTCTACCTGTCTCCAGATGGAAGACTGACTCTTCACTGAATTTGACTTCCAAACGCTGCCTTTCTGTTCTTTCCTATAAGTCCAATCAGACCACCTCTCTGTACAGAAATCACTACAGCCACCCTAGTCCTTAAAACCAGAGGCTGTGCCACAGTAACGCAGGAGGGACCCAGACTCGCCTCACCTGTGCTCTCCCTGAGGTTGTTGGCTAGCGACTTCCACACACTCCCATCCTAAGCCGAAAAGCCCCTTTTCATCTCTGTACAGTACATGTCTCCATAATGCACACTGGTTCCTGCGTTACAAGTGGTCCCTGAACTTTGTCAACTCCTTCGCCACTACTAAGGCACCTCTGACACACGTTGATGAAGTTGTGTTACACAGGTTATCTCCCTGTGTCTCCTTCATGAGACCGAAACTGCAGAGGGAGGGCTCTGTGTGCTCCCTGTGGGGACTAATCACAATGCCATGCTCTTGGAGGACGTTAGGGTTTCTTAGCGCATTGTCAGCAGTGAATCTGGAGGCAGGAGGCTGTTATGGATGAGTTATAAGACTGGGAACTTTGGAAACCAGCTTCTGTGCTGCCTCTGTATCACCGCAGCAAGCGGGAAACACCCTTCCTAGCTTCCCTTGGTCATTAATACGGTTGCCAAATTATTCTTGTAACACTAAATGTAAGCAGAATATTACAAAATGTACCAAATACAACAAAATCAAATTGGTTAAACACATACTGACAACTCAAAAATAATTAAATGTTTAATTTGATCATTGATATCAAAAGTAAATCAAATATTTTCATAGGTTACAAAAAGCCACAGTGTAATACAAGATGGCCAAGGTATAACACAAACTGTGTTACCTGGGATCTCAGCATGGAAAAATAGGAGAGAATTATCTACAGAGCTGTTGGATAAAAGAGTATTAAGAGGAATGTATGGAGGAAAGAGTTCAAGAAACGTGTTTTATGAGATGAGACAGTATAAAACTCATCTAGGAAGGGATTCTGTGACTTTCTGGCAAGATATTTTAGACTGTCAAGGAGTATAAAAGCAAATACCTGACTAAAATAGATGGGGAAAGAGAAAAAAAATACTTTAATGGTCAAAAAAAGTACATGAAAGCCCAAACCACCTGATACCACAAGACAGAAACGAAGCAGAGAGAAGGGGAGAGAGAAGAAAAATGGATAAAGGGAAAGAGGAATGGAGTGGAAAGGAGGCCTGACACCCATCATGCGAGACAAGGGGAGGCAGGAGGAGGACAGAAGAGGCAAGGATGAAAGTGCCAGGGAGAATATGGTGCACCCAACCTCACACGCTGCTGAGGGTGCGAACTGTGCAGTGACTGTGGAGAACCCTACAAACTATGTTAGCGCGCCTGCGGCTCTGGGTCCGACTTCTAGCACAAAGTAGTCTTTGAAGTTACTACTTCCTCCAGAAAAACCCGAAAGAAGTGAGAGTGAGAACCCCCAAAATATCTGCATGCCAAGGATGTTCACAGCAGCATTAGCCAGCAGACCAAGGTAGACAGGCCAGGTGGCTCTCAGAGAATAAACAGACAATGTGGCTGGCAGGCGCCCACCCACACAGAGGAACACTGCAGCTCTGACACATTTTCAACACTTGAGAACCTCACAGACATTACACTAAGAGAAAGAAGCCAATCATAAACTCAAACACACTAGGACTTCACAATTCAGAGAGTGAATGCTGGAACTAGAAAGCAGGACAGAAGGTAGGGTGGTATTGGGGGAACCGCTGTTTATGGAGATAAAGGGTCTGGTTGGGAACTAGACATTGGTGAAGTATGTACTGCAGTATGGTATTGTTTATTGCTGCTGATATGCTTTATAGGTTTTTTTCGCTATTTTATTATAATTTTTAAAAATGAAAAGAAATGTCTATCAATGAGCATCAAAGAAAGTCACTCAAGATTCCAAAAGGTCAAGTTTTACTGCTTGGGTGACAGTCGACCAGAGGCTCTGGCACAAGACACAAGTTCGAGCCCATTAGTTATGGACCTACACACAGCCAGCTTTAAGTGTGGAGTGCGAGTAGAGCCGACACCGGGCAGGAAGGGGTGCCACACTCCCTGCAGGCTAGCCTCCTCCACCACATGCTGCATGGCTTTCTGTCAAGCGCCCTCGGAAACCACTAACACTTCACTCTACAATAAAGTAGATAAAAAGGAACTATGAAAATGGCTCAGTGTAGTTATTACTAAATTAAGGCAGTGCATTATATAACAGTTTTCAAATCGTGAGGTTAGCGGAGGAAAAGCATTTTACATGCAAGAACTTACTTTCAGCCTGCAGTGTGAGTTCCTGAAGCCTGCTCTGCAGTCTCTGGAAGGAAAAAAAAAAACACACACACACAGGAGTGACAAACACTTTGAATTTCCACCCACCATGTATTTGAATTAACAGATTTTAGAGATGAACCCCAAGGGCCAAGCCTCATGACCTGAGTCGCATCCCTGGGGCCCGCATGGTGGAAGGAGGGAACCGGCTACTGCTACTTGTCTCCTGACTGCTACACGCACGCTGTGTTTGCATGCATCCATACAGATACACGTATACTAAGTAAATAATAAACAAATGAAATGTTCTGTCGCTGCCATTCGGCATGACTACTTGTCTACATAGCTCACAGTGTGGGAATGGCACCAAGAGATCAGGAGTCACTGACTCTACCCATGTGCCTCTCTGTACCGCTAAGCAGTTACCACTGATATCCCTTAGAAGAGTACCGAGGATCTACATTTTTCCATGCTTTGGATGACGGTGTAAGATTCGTACCAGATCATGAGAAAAATGGGTGCGTTGGGCAAGTACTAGCAAAAGGACATGACAAGTTTGTCCTCATAACCTAGGTCACACAAAGCCTTAGGTGTGAATTGTCCCTAACATCCAGGTGCGCTGTTTACTGCTCTGCTGACTTCTTACAGTCCCTACCTGACATCCACAAGGCCTTCCTGACATATATCAGAGCTGGTCCTAATAGTCCTCAATCTAAAATTTGTTCCTTTTCATAGGTGCCTTGTAGGTCAAAGTCAGAGAACTTTGAAATCCAAATTTTCAGTTTATAATCAATGTCAGCATTCATCCCTCCTCATCCTCATTCCCTTCATATCGTAATCAAATGATAGTAACTTCCTAGATTCACCCCTTTTCTCCACAATCACTGCCTCACCATGTCAAAGGCTCTTATCAGCTTATACACACGTGCGCTCATGCAGATGCTAGGACAGTTCTGCAGGTGGATGGTGGCAGATACACAACACCGTGACTATACTTGGCTTTGCCGAATAGGACACTTGCTACCAAAGTAGCTAAAATGGTGAATTATATACTTTACAATCACCTTTGCAATAAGATATGTTCCTTTTTAAGTTGGGATAACCCCCAAACATAAGTGCAAATGAGGAATAACTCAAGTTTCCTACTGCTGAGAGTATAAAATGATATAGCCTTTGCAGAAAGCACTAACACAAGACTGATGAAAACAATTTTATTCCTGGAGACCCTAAATCTAGAAATATACCAGGCATCAATCAAGAGAATGGAAAGTTATGAGACAGTTTGCTCATAACTCAATATTGCACAACATAAAATCACTGATAAATGTAATATGAAAGACATCTCAAAATCTTTCTGGTGGCATGAGAGGCCTGTACAGAGAACACACTGGATGCTGAGAAAATGCATGAGTGGTTTGCCCTGAATATGAAGCAATGACAGTAATGATCACTATTTTCTTTTATACTCTACACAAATGTGAGCATCTATCAAAAAACTTCATCAAATGTTATTCTTAAAACTGAAGATCCTTTTCATGTATATAGATTCTGACTTAAAATGGTGCCATAAATAAATGTGGAGCTGTTCTCAGTGAGGCCCACCATAAATTATTTCTGTTTGAGACAAAGAGAGAGTGAGGAATGAGACACTACCTCCAGCAGCAGCAAGAAGGCCCCATGCACGTCCCCCTTCTTCTCTAACAGGTATGCGGTGACTTCGTGGAGCTGATACTTCTGTGTAATCTAGGAGAAAAAGAAAGCACTTCTTTAACTTTTGTTTGCAGAGTACAATGAGCATGTAATACCCAGATCGCAAGCCCCCAAAAGACAAACAGGAATCGACTCTGTTGCAAAACACTGGAGGGTCTTTTATTACAAGCTCTAGCTGGGTGGCCGCCCTTTACAAAGACAAAGGGACAAGTGACCACCCCCCACTCCGGGAGAACAAGGTTTTTAAAGGGACAAAATCCAAGTGGGGAAGTGCAAGTCTTGGCATTACAGGATTGGATAAGAGGGTCTCTAGGAGAGCTGACCTTTAAAATGATTGGTCTGTTTTTAGGTGCCAAGACTGCAAATGGTCAGGCCTGGCTCCCTGGCGGACATCTGACCTCTAGTACTGCCCCATTACGTGAAAGTCAGGCTGTAGTGAGGGGGGGAAGGGGGGCTAGCACATTCTGTGGGCTTTCTTAGGGGCTATGTGACTCCAGTCACACCCTGAGGTTTATCTGGGTGGGGGACTGCTGCTGGACCTCTGCTCTGAAAGGAATGTGGTCTGGTGATTTTGCCCCAGCCCCAGGGATTAACTCTAAGTTTCTGAACCTCTCAAGCACAGTGCACAAACTCCACGGACAGTCATTAATGGGCCCGTGTCTTTACAGCATGGTACAGTACAGTATATGGAGCCTGTCTTACAGTGAACCCATCCGGCATTTCTATTTTGAACAATTCATTCCTTTGTTTACTTTCCATATTTGTCACACATCTGAATGATGTGCATCCACTGGAGAAAAGCCGATACAATAAGCAAAAAATAATGATATAAAATATAAAGCATCAGCTATAATTCTACATAAAGAATTTAGAATGAAATGAAGAGTAGATACTAACTTATGGGATTTTTGTAAAAATTAACAAAATAAGAACATTTAAATCAGTTAAAAATATTAAATAAGTATGTTCAGGAATAAAAGGGGGAAGTACAGAAAATGAAAACGAAAGCTAGCAAATGCTAGAGAATACTGAAGCTTCACTGTGAAGGACCGGCTTACAGACTGCCTCGGTTGCTTTTGCCACTGCTGTGATAAAATGCCTACCAGAAAGGGTTCACACTGGCTTACAGTTCAAAGACAAGTCCCCATGGTGAAGAAGTTGAAACAGCAGCAGTCTGAAAACAGCTGTCGTACCTCACAAGCAGGAAGTAGGGCAGTGTGAGGCAGGTCTGCTAATGCAGGCCCACTTTTCTTACTCACACACTCCAGGACTCGTGGTCCTGGGCAGAGTTCAGACAGTTTTTCTATATTAACCTAATCAAGGCAAGCCTCACCGTGCCCTCAGGCTAAAAGGTACCTCACAGGTGTGCCTAGAGGCTTATTTCCCAGGTGACTTGAGAACTGGTTAAGCTGACAGTAAACACTGACCATCACACAGGTCAAAGGAGAAAACTGCGATCATAACAATAAATGCAGAAAATCATCTGGCAAAACACAACATCCTTTCATAGCCAAACAAACAATCTGAGCAGAACTTTCTTAAGAGAAGTTATCTGGATATCCCACAATAAACACCATATTTATGGCAAAGTGTCTGCTATGTCCCCCTTTAAATCAGAAACAGGATGGAAGGCACAGAGACTCTGCCTTCTGGAGTTCAGGAGTCTACTGGAGCACATAGACGTTTGAGAACGAGGCGTAAGACTGGGCCATAAAACTCCCCAGACTGCTATTCTTAGAAAGCATTACTGTCATAAAATATATAGAAACAGTTTGAATTGAAAAATAATTTAGTTGGTTGCTAAGTGCAAACCAGTGTAAATAATTCCTGGTATTTCAATTCCTGGCAGCAAACAACAAAAATGTCCTTACAGAGGCATGGTGTGGTGGTTCATGCCTTTATGATCACAGCACACAGAGGTAGGAGGCAGGATCTCTGTGAAACAAAAGCCAGCCTGAACTACATATCAAATTCTGGGCTAGCCTGGGCTACACAGCGACACTGTCTTATAAACAAACCAAAATAAAACACCAGTAAGACTCTGCCTAACAAAACTAAACAAGCCAGGTGGTTGTGGCTCACACCTTTAATCCCAGCATTCAGGAGGTAGAGGCAGGTGGATCTCCATGAGTTCAAAGCCAGCCTGGTCACAGAATGAGTCCAGGACAGCCAGGGCCATACACATAGAAACCCTGTTTCAAAAAAACCAACCAAGGAACCAACCAAACAACAACAAAACAAGCCTCATAGAAATGTTATAAATGTTACCAAAAGACACAAAGGCATCTTAAAAGGCAAATCTTTCTGAATGTGAACAATCAGTCCTCGGAGCTATCATTCTCCCAGCACTGATGCAATTCAGTGTTAAGTTTTATAATCAAAGCTACAGAACGTCTTTAAAGAAACTTGGTATTGTGATCCCTAAGTGGTGCAGGCCTGGTAAGAGGCGGGAAGCTGCTTAAACAATGAGAACTGGAGTTGCTCTAGGAACAAATGACCTCATCCCTGGCCAGCCCCAGTGATATCACTGAAGTGGTTACTTTTTCATTAACTTGTCACAGGCTAAGGTCCTTTGGGAAGTCAACAGAGAAAATGTCCCCACCATAAAAACAGGAATGGAAATAACACATGTAAAACTTAAACCTTAGAAGAGTGATAAATTAAAACAGAAGGGCAAGAGATGCAGGAAGCATACAGAATTAGAAGTGAAAGGGAGGGGAAAACATCGCCGATGTGAGTACATACCTGTGACACAATCATACTGTCAAAATATACTAAATAGATTAAGTGGAAATGCTTTTCAGTTGGTTAAAGAACTGGGAATCATCAAGGCTGTGAGGAAATGAAATATATCAAAAATACTGATGAGAACAGAAACACTCGGGGAATACTGGAAACACAGCACCAAGCTACCAAGCATGTGTGGTCAACTCGAGGCGCACAGGCCGTGTGTCCCAGGACTCCAATGATGGCGCCCAGCACACGTTTAGAAGTCACATGATGTCAAAGGCTAAGCCACAGCTGGGCAAGGCCATTTCCTGCAGGAAGCCATACAGGCATATGAACATATGCACTTGCAGCTCTGGGAATAGTAGCAAAAACTTCTGGAAGCCCCTTCACTTTTAAACAAAGAGAAAAAGCAAACTGGCAGAGTTCTTCTGGTATTCAACTCTACCATCATTAAGATCAACCTGGTAGACTTAAAAACACAGCATCAGCTAATTAAAAACTAGAAAGAGGGCTAGAGAGATGGTTCAGTGGTTAAGAACACTGACTATTCTTCCAGGGGACCTGAGTTCAAATCCCAGAAACTCATATGGCAGCTGATAACTGTCTATAAGTCCAGAAACTGAAACCCTCACACAGACATACATGCAGTCAAACCACCAATGCACATTAAGACAAAACAACAAAAACTAGAAAGAATGATCCGAAACAGGACATCTCTCTCTTCTGATATCATTAATACAAATTTTAAAGCATATGAAACTATAATCTATTCATAAGCATAAACCATGAGTTTAGGGGTAAACACCACACCATTCAGTTGATGGTGACCTCATGGTAAAAGGGCAGGGAAAAAGGGCAGATAAAGTTGCTTTATCTCTAAAGTATGTAAGGGGATGTGGGAACTGAAATTTACTTGGTGGGTACAAATGGAACTAATACTGTTCACATTGCTAAGTACCTGAAATATTTCATAATTCAACATTTTTTAAATATGGAGGCAACTCAGGAAGTGGATGCAGAAAAGACAGGTTACTGTTTACTAAGAGCAGAAGGAAAAAAGACGTTATCTTTAAATTTTAAATGGGAAACATACTAGCCTCATCATATCACACACACACACACACACACACACACACACACACACATCTGTCTCTGTCTCTCTCACTTGGAAACAGAAAAAAACAAGTAAGAAAATCAAGGCAAAGAGCATACTAAAGCTGCTGGCCCTCTCTGCATTCGTGGCATATCAGGACTATTAACCATCACTGTCTGCATCAGGAGTTTGCTTTGCTAGTTAGAATTTCCATAAAACCTGAATTGTTACAGGGATGGTTGAGCATTGTTTAAAACTGACTAGAGCAATGGCGACTCCACCTTGGATACCACATTTATTACTCCCCAGCTTCTGCGAGGAATTTCACACCCTGGGTCCTCCTGTACCACCTGGAAAAAAGAGAGTGCAGGAAAGTCACACTTGCCTTGTGCATGCAGCTGGCCTTACCTGAATAGTTTCCTCCAGGCGGTAGCACTCGAGGACTTGCAATGTCTCTATGACTTGGTCGGGGCTGAACTGGCACAGCAGGTCAATGAACTGCTCGGTAACACAAGGCGGTATCTGCAGCAATTCCTGATTTACATGAACACCTTCCCTGAGAGCAAAAGGCAAGAGAGTCCTGAAGAAAAGCCCTATGGAGGCACACCTCTAATCAAAGGCTTCAGATAGGCATGTCATGTTAAAACAAGATCATTTTTTTATGAGATAAAAATGCCCATTGTGGGAGGGTTTTTTTTTTTTTTTTTGTTTCTGTGACAGGGTTTTTCTCTGTGTAGCCTTGGCTGTCCTGGACTTGCTTTGTAGATCAGGCTGGTCTTGAACTCACAGAGATCTGCCTGCCTCTGCCTCCCTGAGTGCTGGGATCACAGGCGTGCACCACCACACCTGGCTATCCACTGAATATACAATACATAACAACAGAGGCATGGAATAGGTCTCAGCTCACATGGAGTAAAGTTATATTTTATGCTAAAAAAAAAAAAAAGACCCAATCAGCTTAACCAATGAGAACTAGAGCTGCTCTACTAACAGACGGCCTCTGTCTCAGCAAGCACCCCTGGTGTTCTTGCCTTCCAGCCCCACGATACCACTGCACTGGCTGCTTTTTCATGAACTCATTTGTCGCAGGCTAGGGTTCTTTGAGAAGGCCACTGAGAAAACGCCCCTAGCAGACCGGCCTGTGGTGGCCCGGCCTGTGGGGCAGTGTCACCCTGGCTGACGGCCCTGGATCTATAAGAAAGCTGACACTTTGCTGGAACAGTCCAACTCCTGCTGCCTTCTACGTCTCATCCTTATGAACAGGTAGGTGTAGCTTGCACCCACATCAGAGAAGCTTCTCTTTATAGCAAATGAGACCATCACAGAAGACGACAAAGGACAGCAGGGGCCTGGCCCCAAGAGAGACATCTGCATCGCAGTGTCTGCACCGGCAGCTCAGGGGACATAGTGGAAAGGGGGCAGAAAAATCATAGAAGCCAAAATACAGGATTCAACCGAAAACAATCCCTCCTAGAAATGGCTGCATACACAAGACTGGAACAATGGCACAGGAGACATATTAATGAGGAAGTGAACTTTACACGCTGTCCCACCCAAGACAAGGAACTACAGGCAACTACTGACTGCTGGGAGGAGAGTTAGCCTCCCAGGGATGGTCCCCATATTGGTTGCCCAATGCAGACTGACAGCCCTTAAAACATACACACACAAACAACAAAATGGACAACAGGTTCAATTTATATATGTGTGTGTGTGTGTGTGTGTGTGTGTGTGTGCACTGCGCGCGCACACACACACACGTTTATATGTTATGTGTATGTAATTAAATAAAAAGAGGCTATCAACTTGAGAGTGAGGGCAGGCATGGGAGGGGTTCAAGGAAGGGAGAAGTCATATACTTCTATTTCAATTAAAACATTTTGAAATTAAATTTAATAATAATTTTTAAAAGCAGGCTGAGAAAGCTATGAGGAGTAAGCCAGCAAGCAGCTCTCCTCCATGGCCTTTGCATCAATTCCTGCCTTCAGGCTCCTGCTCCGACTTGCCTGGATGATGGGCTAAAGCTTTATGCTAATTTGTACTAGATGACTTAAGCACCATTTGATACTGCTTTACTCTTGCTTGCTATATGCTTAATAAACTTACTCATTCAAAACCAAGAACATGGCTGTCACAAGTCATTATCCACATAGATGGGTCTACTCCCCTCTGTACTGTAAAACTATATGTGAGTAGGCCAACCTAGGTGGTTTTCCATGTCTCTACGGGGAGGTTTCACACCTCCCTCACACTTGCTTTAACAAACTAGAGTCACTAAGCTAACCAAATCTGTCTGCTTGAAAACTCACTGGTCCTTAGAGGTGGTGGCAAACCAATGGTTACTTCTTATGCTTAGAGAGAGAATGGAATTATAGCACTCAATGCAAACTTTTACACACAAATGTAAACTTGTTTTTCAGTAGCTTTCGCTCAGATCAACTTGTTTCAGCTTTTCATATATTCCATGTTAGAAATGCCACGCCTAGCCCTGGGCCATCTAAGCAAGGCATGTGAATGTGTCAGTCTTCCTGAAAATAAGACCTTGCCTCCAGATGTTATTGGTAGCAGAGACAAGACCTATAAAATCTATATGGAACTATAATACATATGATAGTGCATGAAACTCCACAGGCAACTGACTTAGCACCAGGGTCAACACAAGAACTACCTGGGAGACAAGTCTCTGGGAAGCTGTGTGAGAAGGTCTCAAGATGCAGTTAATGGAGAGGGAGGACTCACCCAGCACGTGGGCAGCACCCTGCTGACGGCTGGGGCCCTGAACAGAACTGAAAGGAGAAAGCAGGCAGTTGGCAGCAGTCATCTGTCCACACTGCAGGTGCAGCATGCTCCCACAGGCTGCCCCAAACTCCAGGACCATGTCTTCCCTGCCAGTGGCTGTACTGTCAAACGAAGAGGCAAGATAAGCCCCTATCTATGTGACAGACAGAGGCCAAAACAAACAGGCACTTCATTCTGTCTGACAGCCAACACTCTGCTATATCATTCCCACGTAGCAGCGAACCTGAAATCTGGTCACTTTCTGTTTCCTTAGTTTGACTAATCAGGTGTCAGGTCTTCTAATATCTTCTGCTTGTGTTATGTGTGTGTGGTGAATGTCTACATGTGTATATGTGTGTATGGGTGGGGAGGAAGGGAGTATGAGTGTGTGTGTGGGAGAGAGAAGGGTATGTGAGTGTGTGTGTGTGAGTGTGTATGCACATGGAGGCCCAAAGTTGACATCAGATTTCTTCCTCAACTGCATTCCATTTTATTTGCTGGGGCAAGGTCTCCCAGTGAATCTGGAACTCAACAATTCCGACTAGTCTTATTAGCCAGCTTGCCCTGAGCTGCCCTGGACTTCTGAGTGCTATGGTCATGGGTGTCCTTAATGCCTGCTTGGCTTTTACAAGATCCTGAGATCAAACTCTGGTCCTCACACTTTTGTGACAAGTGCCTTATCTACTGAGCCATCTTCCCAACCCTCCAAGTCTTAATAAAATGTATGTAACTGCGATGGTATTCATGAAAAAAGATGTTTTGTTTCTCTTGCTCTCATGCATAGACAAGAAGATGCACTTTCTAAGCTACCAAGAAAGAAAAAAAAATCAGTTCAAACCACATTTGGTATAGGCAATATATGGGCCAGTCCAATGATGGACAGACTAAATTAAAAACCTATGGGAAAGGGAGGGCCAACACACAAACCATCCATAGTTCACTAAACAATCACTCCAAAGCCCCATTAAGCTCTGCCGTCACCTCACCACACACGCTCTTCTGAATGCAGATCTCCTAGCAGGCACTAGATCTGGTGCTGTCTGACCAGCAAGGGCTGTCTGGTCCAGTCTGAAGCCTGGGAGGATGCATGTCAGCACATCTAGGCTGGTGCTCTTCCAGGTTCAGGTGAGATGCCTGATGCTTCTCCTGCTCCCAAGCAACAGGCCAGAGGCAGTCTTGTGACACCACCATAGAGACATCCACCAACCATGTCCCAGAAAGGGTTTGGGACCAGATGAGGGGAAGGCTCCTATACCCTGTCACTATGAGACACGAAGATGCACCAGCCATCATCCAGCTTCTGACCTACTCTGTAAGGAGCAGGAAAACAATGAACAAACTCAAAGGCCACGATTCTTAGTTCCACCCAAGACCTAAGGCAATGCAAACTGTAGAGATGGGTGGGGACAATCACTTACTGTAGCAGAAGCCAGGGGCAAACACTGTGATACTGGAGCCAGAGTCAGCAGGAAAACACCATATACAAGTGACAACTGTTGGAGGATTATTGTGGACAAGTGTGTGGGTTAAACCATCAGAGGGTTCCTATGCTTCTAAGTTTACCTGAAGGAGGCTCACTGGTTCTATGAAGGACACTGAAAATTACCCTCCTGTTACCAGGAGAAGGAGAGAGGCAGACACTTCAAAATACACAGAGCAGTTTGCTCTTCCTAACAGGCCTGCCACAATGGACAGGACTACAACACTCACTCTGTGACGTGTGAGTCCTTGAGCTGTGAGGCTGCAGCTGGAGTTCCTGACTTGCTAACACTGCTGAGAAACTAGCACACCTGCTCCTGGATGGGGGATTTGACAGTGGTTAACTAACGACACCCCCCCCCCCAAAAAAAAACCCACAATGGCCAACTGAAGATCACTGTGCCTGATATGCACCCTCCCATCACATCGACAGGCCATTTCACAGAAACAAAGTAAGATGATGAGGAAACTAGTGTCTCAGACTTTCCTCAAGAAGCAGTCTCTAGGGAAACCCAAAGGTAGGGGGTTGGGGGAGGGACTCCAGCTTTGGCCATAACAGCAAACAATAAACATAGTTTCTTAGCCAGATGAACATAAAACCCCAAATCTGAAGGTCTATTTACCTTGGTTTCTTTTACATACAGATCTCTAGATTTTATCCCCAAATTACAAGGCATACAAAGCAAAGAAGCAGTGCAGTTTGAAGAAATAGTCTCTACAGCTGAGTCTTATGGAGGTCTTCTCTAATGACTCTTGCTTCTTTCAAGTTGACATAAATTAGCATGACTGGCCACTTGTCAGCTTGACACACAAACCCATCAGTGTTAAGCCACAACCTTTCCTTTCTTATTCATCTCCCAACATCACAATATGAAATATTCCAAATTTTAAAAGTCCCACAGTCTTTACAGAAGCAGACTCAGACAGCAGAGAAGCTGGAATGTGAAATACCACATTGAGATCTCTGAGAAGAAAAGCAAGAAAAGATTGCAGGCAGATGGACAGACACTCTAAGATACAATGACAGCCTAGAGAGAAAATAAAAAAATAGGGCCTGAGGAAAGTCTTTGATGTGCTTATCAACAGCCTAGCTAGACACAGCTGAGGGCAGAGCCTGCCAGCTTCTCCTGATGTCCACAGGCATGTCCAAAACTGAAAGGCAAATGAAGAAAAAGCACAACAGAATATCTAAGAATTATAGTATGGTCCCCCAAATAAATACACATAATGGAACTGTGAGAAGAAAAAAAAGAATTTAGGAAAAGAAATAAATAGTAACTGAATTTTCCAAAATTAGTA